TGCCCTCCAGGTGTTTAACTCACCTCCTCTCCTCTGGACAAATACATCCACTTGACTGGGAGAAATCATTCATGTGCCTTTTTTAAGTCATGCTTTAAGTTATATCAGTGACAAAGAGAGCTTCACATTCTGCCTGGCAGGACCAATGATCATGGGAGGTTTTTATACCGGACACCTACACTCATCATGGAACGTAGCATCTGGAGTGTATCCAAGACCAGCTCTTAATGAAATTCACTGTGACCTCCCACTAATATTTAACAGAATATCTATGTATAAAAATCCCATCATATTATTCAGACACATAGAGATGGGATATAAAAAGGAAAAACATCATTTCAGAAACTATTGTAGGACAGTTGTATTGTATTGACAATTGTATTGACAATTGGCAGTCAAAATTAAACTATCAGCCCAGTTCACTGTTTCTAGTGAAGGTAGTTTGTTTTGTTTTTTTTTTTTTTTTTTTTTTTTTTTTGCTCACTGTTCTGGTTTGTCAGAGCCAATTATTTGTTCCTTTTACTTACCACTTGATTTTTTCTGCATCTGTTGTTGTATAGCTGTATATACTTTTAGGTATTTATTTAGTATTTAGTTATTAGGTATTTAGTTAGTTAGCAGCTATTACAGATGTATTATTTGAGCTATTATGAGGCTCTATTTTGTTTCAAGTTCTATACAATTAGCTGGATCTACAATAGTTACCAGAACAGACCAAAAAAACCGAGTTTAGGCTTACCTACATTGGCTTTATATATTTTGGGTTGTTTTTTCATTCTTCTTTCCCTATTTTAGGGGCTTTTTATTTCATTTTTGAGATTATAATATAGTTACATCTCTTATATATAATTACGTCCAAAATGGAAATCTGCCTCCAAGGCCTCTCATATGCTTCTCCTTGCTCTCTTTCAAGGTCATGGCCCCTTAAAATAAAAAATGGGAGCAACCTTTAAAATATAATTATAATCTATGATTGGTTCTAATAAAACAATCATGCAAGTATTATGACGGAGAACATCTAGGTAACCTGTGACTAAGGTAATTATAAAAGGTCATTTTAAATGTGATACTTAAGCTGAAATGCATAGGTGAGATGGGAACCATCTTTATAGGGAGGCAGATTCAGGATTGTAAAAGGCTAAGGGCTTAGTATACAGCTAAGTCTAGCATTGGGAAAGGCGGTACAATGCCTTGGATTCGATCTCCAGCATTGAAGTAATAAATAAAGGAAGGAAAGCAGAAGGCCAAGACAACAAAGAAGAGGAAAAGTGGAGGAAATGGAAGAAAAGAAAATGCAAGAGAGGAAAGGAAATGAACAGAGAAGTACCTCAGTCCTCCTTTAGTATTTTTAGTTTTTTATACTTTAATTGGCTTACAAACGAGCAAGTTTCCTGATAACATCTCCATATACTTCTTAGTTACTGTTGGCCTCCCCTTCCTTTCTCTCTCCATCTCCCTGCCCCATCAAGCCATGTTTAAACCATTTTGCCCCCCCTAGAACTTTGCACCACATGTCCCCTTACCCTCCCCAATCCCCTTTGAAACCTTCTTTTCCACCCTCTCATGGCCCCTTTCTATTTCCTGGAATCTGTTCACACTCACTCTCATGTATACATATATAAAGATCAGAAACTAAGACATGCATACGAGAGAGAACAAGTGATACTTGTCTTTCAGAGCCTGAGTCACTTCAATGTTTCCAGTTCCTATCCATTTTCCTGAAAGTTTCATAATTTCATTCTTCTTTATGGGTAAACAAAAATTCACTGGGTGTATGTGCAATATTTTCACTATCAATTCATTCATTGATGATCTGACCTGACTCAATTTCCTTGCTATTTTTTAAAGGAAAAAACTTTGAAGGAAGTAGAGATCAACAGATGTAATCAGTTTAGGAGAAAGTGAATTGGTGAAGCACAGAAGATAGTCACTTTAGTGAAACTGCTCTGTACGAAACTATGATAGAGGATGTGTATCATTGTACTCTGGATGATGCTATGATAGAGGATGTGTATCATTGTATTCTGTATGATGCTATGATAGGGGACATGTATCGTTGTATTCTGTATGATGCTATGATAGGGGACATGTATCATTGTACTCTGTATGATGCTATGATAGAGGATGTGTATCACTGTACATTTTCCCAAGGCCACAAAACACACTGCCACAAGTGAGCTCCAATATAAACTATGAACAATAATAATGTTATTATGAACTAATTGATTGTTTTAAAACCTAACCATTGTGATATGTGATACTGAAAGTGGGTACTATGGCTTGAATGTGTCCCCTAAATTTCATGTATGAGAAACTGTGACACAGTTGAGAGATGAGAGTGTTAGGCATCCATGAATGAATGAGTGCTCTAAAACCTAGAGACTGCATGGGAATGGGTTCCTAATAAAAGCAAGAAAGATTACGTAGCACAAGACACTGTGGTAACACAACATAAGGTATATGAACCCCTTGCATCGTGTCAGATACACAGAGTATACAAATCTTTTGTGGGTTTTTGTTGTTGTTGTTGTTTTATTTGGGACTTTTTTTTAATGTGAGTGACACGGGAGGTGATTACCTGTGGTTGGTTCTTCTTGAATCTCTAGAGATGAGTTATCCTCAGGTCAGAAAAACAGCACACACCTTCAGAGTCACATCTGTGAGCACATGATCAAGGTCTCAGCGCTAGCAACATGTCCTCCAGACAGTCTACTCTACCAAATGTGCCTCAGCAAGTTATTCCTGACAGTTCTTTCACTCTGTGATTCTAACCCTCCAGTAACTATGTAGACAAATACGCTGCACATGATAAACCCCTCCTACTTAACCTAGCTACAGATGATCCTGTGTGATTAAATAAGAAGTCTGTTTGATATATTAAACTGATCTTAATGTCTCCACTTCAATTTATTAGCAAGAATTAAAAGTGATCAATGTTATAAGTAGTCCAGTTATCAAATATCTCTTTTTTAAATGAATTTTTTCCTGAGTGTCACATGGACATGATGATCATTTGCTTAGTGAATATTTGTGCTATACTAAGGCTAGGTGTTACAAAAGTGGTAGTGGGTGAGGCAGCCGATGCCCCCACTTTCACAGAATTTATAAAGCAGCTAAGATACTCAGATGGTGAAATGTCATTGAGAAAATGTTAAAGATGTATGTGGTGATTTAAATAGTGAAGAATGGCTTTATATGAGCATTTGGAGACCTCTGAGGAGGTAGAACTTTAACTGTGGAACAAGTTGAGTTAAGGATAATGTGGTGATATTTTATTTATGATCTAACAAATAAACTTATCTGGGGATCAGAGGACAGAGCCCGCCACTAGATTAGACATAGATGTCAGGCAGTGGAGGCACACACCTTTAATCCTATCCCTTGGGAGGCAGAGATCCAGATGGATCTCTTCGAGTTCAAGGACACAGTGGGAACAGAGTCAGGCATGGTGGCACACACCATTAATCCTAGCACTTGAGATCTCATGTCTTTGCTTGGGAAGAACACACGCCTTTAATCCCAGGAAGTAACATGTCAGGACACAGAAAGGTATACAAGGTGTGAGGAAACAGAAACTCATGCTCTGGTAAGGTGAGGTTGTTGGCTGTGGCTTGTTCTGTTTCTCTGATCTTTCAGCATTCACCCCAGTATCTGGCTCTGGGTTTTTTATTAATAAGACCATTTAGCAGTTCTTGTTACAGGATACAGCCTTTTATCCCACAATTCATGAAGATGTAACTTTGTGATTATCATCATTGTTTAGGGATATACTTTCTTACTTATTCTTTTTACTTTTTATTGATTCTTTGTGAGTTTCACATCATGAGAGGGCTCAGAACCCCACTCATCTCTTTGTCCCCTAGCATCTGCCCTATGCCCTTACAATGCCCCACAAAACAAAATTTAAAAATAAAAACCAAAAACCATAAACAAACAAAAACAAAACAAAAAAAATGATTAAATCTTTGCATGAAGCTGTAGTGTGGCCCAGTGAGTCACATAGTAAACCCTTTAGTTCATACATATTTATTTGTAAGTATTCATTTCAATGAGTCATTGGTCTGGTTTGAGGCCTCTGGCTCTTGCTGCCCTATCAATACTGGGCTCTCACTGGGCCTTTCTTGGACATCCTGTTGTTGCCTTGTGTCCTGAAGATCCTGTAACTTTGGGTCTACAGGTTCAGGCCCTTCACATGCTGCAGCAGTTCATAGATAAGGTGAGTGTTGAGGTGGACTATCTCAGAGTCCTGGTCCCAGGCCTGGGTGGTAGCTGGGTTAGTCAGCCTGACAGCTTTCCCTCATTGTCACCACCCAGGCTAGTTCTCCAGCACTATCCTGGCTAGCTCACCCCATGCAACAGACAGGAAGGCGTGGGGCCAGTTCTTCTTGCTCTCACACCCTCAGGTCCAGCTCACCTACATTCACACCACCAGGGTAGCTCTACTATTTTGCCCAGGTGAGGTGCCGGACCCATTCTCCAGAATGCTACACTTGGTGATGGGCAGGGCCAGCTCCTCCGTTCTCATGCCCCCAAGGTCAGATCTCCAGCCTGTCACAGGTGGCAAGGAGTAGTTTTGCTATGAAATGTATAGCCCAAGAAATTATCTAATATTATAATATTTTAATAGGCAAGTATATTATTTCTCAAAGTGTATATGTAGGGAATTTGCTTAGATAAATCCAGAAAGTTTACCCCAAATGAAGATATGTCTGTCAACAATAGCCCTTCAGTCTGTGACTACTAGCGCTGTGTCCTGGGAACATACACTTCAACAAGAACCTTAACCTCACAACACACTGAAGTTTGGCAAGCAAATGAGCAATGATTAAATCTAAGTGGGATATTTTTATAATACTAATTTAATGTATTATCATTTCTTTGAGAGCTTGACATAGCAACAACATACTTTAACATATACTGTTCACCTAGCTCAGAATCTTGAGTAATTTTTTATAGCTTTTGAAGGATAATTAATTCATGCTATGTGATTCCTTCTACATTTAAGTCAACTTTTGACCCAGAATTTTCTTCATAGCATTTTTTACCTCGGCATTTCTGAGGGTATAAATTAAGGGGTTTAACATAGGAGTAATCATGGTGTAAAATACAGCCACAGCTTTATCAATAGAGAAGGTCATTACTGGGCGCAGATACACAAATATGCAAGGCACAAAAAATAAGATGACCACTGTGATGTGAGAGACACAGGTGGAGAGGGCTTTGCGCCTTCCCTCCTTGCTGTGAGATTTCAGAGCATCTAATATGACTATATAGGAGATCATCAGAAGTAGAAAGTTTAGTAGACAGATGAAGCCACTGTTGGCAGCAACAAAGAGACCCAAGGTGTGTGTGTCCATGCAGACAAGTTTCAACAATGGGGTCAGGTCACACATAAAGTGGTCTATGACGTTGGGGCCACAGAAAGGCAGCCAAACTGTGAAGAGGATCTGAATGGTTGCATGGATAAAACCTCCAGCCCAGGCCACTCCCACCAAGAGGCCACACACAAATCTGTTCATGATGATCGTGTAGCGCAGGGGTTTACAAATGGCCACATAGCGGTCGTAAGCCATCACAGTGAGAAGAATGATCTCAGCAGCACCGAAAAAATGCTCAGCAAAGACTTGAGTCATGCATCCACTGAAAGAAATGGTTTTCTTCACACAGAGAGAGTCAGCCAGCATCTTAGGAGTCATGGAAGAGGAGCAGCAGCCATCAATCAGAGACAGAAAAGAGAGGAAGAAGTACATCGGGGATCCCAGGGCCCTGCTGCTGCTGATGGTGACCATGATAAGCATGTTGCCAGCCAAGGTGAGCAGATAGACAATGAGAAACACGACAAATGAAAATATCTGAAGCTCCATATTTTGAGTCAATCCGATAAGGATAAATTCGGTGATATTATTCATCTTCTCTATCAATTCAGCTCAACTGACAGGTAAAAGTCCTAAAAATAAACAACACACTCACAAGACTTATAAACTCTGGCTGCCTTGTTTCTTTCAGTTTCACAGGAAACAAAAGCATGCTCCAGTAGTAGCCTCCACACCCTTCTGCAATTGGACACTACTAACTGGGCTCAGTGGGTAATTTTAAAAAGGCATTAAGTTGGTAGGGGGCCTATTGAGGAGGATGTGGGAGGGACTGGAGATGGGAAGAAGATAAACATGATCAGATTTCATTGTATACATGTATAAAATTCTCAAGAATAAAAAAAGTTAAAACAAGTACAATGTTGTAACAGCTGTGTCGTTTTTCACATTACATGTGTAACAGTGAAAGTAAGCTTATTTTATTTACAATTTCCTCAGATGCTTTCAATATTTTAGGTTTATAAAAATGTGATTTTTGAAGTCAAAAGAGAATATTTTGATTCATGAAGTTGTAAGAGTCAATCCATGATCTAGCCATATATGTAGCTCGTAAAAGCTACACAAAAATCTACGCATCTTACCAAAGGAAAAATCCATTTTTTGTCTAGTTTTATGTCTTATAAAAGACTGAAGGACACCCAGAGACTTTCATGGGCCATCTTTTTCCTGCTTCACTTGTCTGGAAGCTTCTTGGTTTTTTCGGTATGTAAGTTCAGAGGTTGTGATAAATGTTCATTACAGACACTCTGACACAGGCTCCCTCTCGGCACTCAGCAGAGGGGTCCTTGAAGGTAAAAATTCTGCTTACCCACATTTTAGTCACTCTTATTGTTGCGGTAGTCCCAGTACTGACCAAAACATAAATGCTCAAAGCATTTACTCAAAGAAGGGGAGAGAAAAAGGACAAAGAAAAAGAAAGGGGGAAAGAGAGAAAGAAAAGGAAACTTCAAAATGTATTTACGTATAACGATCAATAATCTTAAACCTCCAGGTACATATTTTAGAGTCCTGGAGCTATTACTATTAACTACATAATATTTTATATTTCAGTTTTAAACCTATCAACCTAAGGAAAAATATACCTAAATTTAGAATTGTTACAAAAATTAAAATTGCGTTTAATTTACTATTTTATTTGTTGCATAATTTACCAGTTCTCATTGAAGTATTAATAAAGAAAACTTTTTCTAAAAAAGTCTCTGAACATGTCTAGAAGAAAAAGATTGTGAAAACAGGCTAATCAAGGGATTAACCCTTGATTTCCTGAACAAGACAGAAAAGAACGAATGTCAAAAACAAAGTTCATCATATTAAAAGGAGGAAGAAAAACATCCTTCACAAGAAAATATATTTGATTTATTTTTCTTATTTATGTTGAAGTTGTGCCTTTCTGGATTCATTTGTTAAAGCCATATACCAAAACACTAAAACTGCATTTCTTCCACCTTGGCTTCTGTGGCTAAAGGTGGAGACAATTACATTCAACCAAGTTTACTGTTCAGATAAATGCTTAGTTTGTGCTTATAACTATGAAGCTGTCCTAGAAGCTGTAAGGCACTTGAAGACAGTGCAAATAATGTGTACGGATGGGGGAATGGAGAGATGGAGTAAATGAAGCAGAGAAAACAAAGTAAGAATAGAAGAAAAGAAAAAGGGAAATACAAAGAGTGAAAGAAAAGAGGAAAAACTGGAGAGAAAAAGTAGGAGATAATGGACATAAAATCATCTGAGGGAGATTTTTTTATAGTTGGAGAGACAGAGAGAGACAGATAAAGGGAGACCAGAGGACAACTTTGTGAAGTTAGTTCACTCCTCCCTTACACCTTTACATGGGTTCATGGATTCCAGGGATTCAAACTTGGGTTGCCAGGCTGGACTGTCTCACCAACGCAACTTCATTTTTAAGAAGACAGTATTTCAAAAAAACTTTTGAAATCGAAACAACTTTAAATCCAAGTTTTATCTAATTCTTTTGATAGTCGTGGCCCTTAGGGTTAACAACAGAAGAAAACGCTGGCAAATAAGTATCATAGGTCATTCTTGCACACTGTCGAGGGAAAGGGCTCAGTTTGCACGGTTCCATACAGAGTTAAGAACTACACCCCTGCCATGGATGCAAGAAATACTTAAAATAGACTCTATCAGAATTTGCCTCACTGAAAAATATGTGCAGCCAGAGCAAACGTCATGTTAATTTGCTGTTAAAAAACAGTGTTTCTGTAAAAGAAAATCATGAAATAATTTCAAAAATAAGAAAAGAAAATCTATGCTTATCCTACTTACCAACATTTACGCTGTCTGCAGGTCTGAGATGTCTCATTCCAGCCACGGATACACTGTCTCAGGTAGTAGATATGCTGATACTGTGCTTAAACACAAGTCAAGGTTTTTTTCATTTTTTATTTCTTGAGATTATAATTTAGTTACATTTCCCCCCTTTCCTTACTTCAAACCCTCTCATAAACCTCCACCGCACTCTCCTTCAAATTCATGGCCCCTGATGGTGAAAAGACAGCAATGGTTCCAGCAGCACCCATTCATCTAGTTCTCTGTGAAGCTCAGAGAAGTCATAAGGTTTACTAATTTTCATCCAGTGCTTTGCCCAGTTGTCTTGATCTGGACACTAGGAACTAGGTCATCACTTTTAAAGAAGAGCAAGATTGATTTCCAAGTACGAACAGCCAATAAAGCATTCCCTGGGTGAGACCTCTCCTGCAACCAATGGTTCCAAGCATTCACTAGACTCTAAGTCTTAAAGCATGGATGGGAAGTTCCCAGCAGCACAGTTGGTCCTTGAGAGTCAGACTTCTTCCTCTCAGATTTCCAGTTGTAACTGCAGAGTGTGACTGAGAGGAAAGCCACTGCCTTTGATATGAACTCTACCCAGAAAGCCTGGTAGTTGCACTCTCAGGCTTAAATTCTTAGAATATAAATACATGAACTTTATACTAGAGGTAACTCCACCCTGTGCCATTTTCACAAGGGAGGAAGGACAATTAATTTTAAAAGCCTTTGTCAAAATGTCAAGCACGTGTCCCACCCTCTTAACTGTCTCTCTAAAAGTGAATAAGACTGGTTAGAAATGTATCTGTCTACAGCACTGAGCCAATCACCAACCTGCAATCAGAATCTGAATAATTTGTCTCTCTAGTTTTTATTCAATGAATGCTATTTAAATAGCTAAAAGTGGCTGTGATGTGAGTAACCAAGTGCTCTTTGGTTAGATCCCAGGCTCACTCCTCAGGGGAGAAAGGGCATCAATGATTGGTACCGTGAGCCTGGCTAACAATCCAGGTCTTGAGAGGTAGTAGGCCCATGTGAGAAACTTATAAATAAAGCATAAACAAAGTGACAGCAGCAAACTGTCTAAATAATAATAATTATAATCATATAGTAATTTATAATTATATAATAATTTAGAACCATAAACAAAAGTGGTTCCCAGTCTCAATCAGAGGAGCTTCTCCTTACAATAAAGGTTGGTGAATGCAGCCACCCATGGCTGCTCAAGGTACAGAGTAAATGACAAATGTGTTAAGTCAAACACTAAATAAGACCCACCCTATAAGGCAGAAGAGGTGTAGTTTCTAAGAGTTGGAAGAAAGGGTCAAGAGCCACAAAATGCCGGATCTAGAACCCACACAATTGCAATTATTAACTCACACCAAATGTAGCTACCTGTGCTGGGCTGACACAAAACTATCTGTAACAATAGTAAGAAACGGGGAGGTCACAGGCTCTACTTTTTTAAAAGATTTATTTAATTTTATTTGTGTGTGTGCCTGCCTAATGTATGTGTGACTACACACATCCAAGTGCCTGCAGAGGTCAGCTGGTGATGATTCCGAGGCACTAGAATTATAGGCAGTTATAAATTACCTGCTTTGGGGAGCCACAAACTGACATCAGGTACCTGACATCAGGTACAAGAGCAGAAATTGCTCTTAACCTATGGGTCATCTCTTCAATTCCCAGGCCTTATTCCCTCCCTCTCTCTCTTTCAATCAAACAAACAAAAAAAATGGAGTTCAGTTTCTATTGGCCCCTGGAATGGGGCCTTCCCTAGAGTGTGGTCCTTATAGCAAGTGTCACTCCATTGAAGAAAAGTGACTTTCCCTTACCTAGCAGCAGTAAAATACCAATGATTCCTTAGTGAGGGGTGAGACTTCATAGCCATCTCCTCTCACCCTTGCTAGGATTTTGTCTAGCATGAACTTCTTCAGGTGTAATGCAAGCTGTCACAATTTCTGTAAGTTCATATGTGCTTCTGCTATATCCTGTCTGGAAAACACTGCCTCGTTGAGGTCATCAGCCACCTCTGACTCCTACAATCTTTCCACTCTCTCTTCCACACAGATATGTGTTTAATTTAGGTAGCTAGTAAGGGACTATGGGGTATAAAGGGATCTTTCAAGGACTGGGAAATAGACTATAGTGTTATAAAGGGATAAAGGAATAAAATGGATTAGGGATGATTAAGTGGGGGATAGAAGAGCAGGGTAGAGAAGGGAATCTAGGGATAGATGACTAACACTAAATACTTTTTAGAAAAACCAGATGAAAATCTACTAGTATTATAGAAGCTTCCTAACATATGTATGTACACATATTTTAAAATAGTTTAAATGGAGTTGCTCTTTAATAGTGTTATTGGACTAAAGGGTATACTGTGTGACTCACTGGGCCACACTACAGCTTCCATGCTGAGAATTGTTTGTCTGTTTGTTTATTTGATTGGTTGGTTGTTTTCTGGGTTTTCTTTTAAATTTTGTTTTGTTTTGGTGGGGAAATTGCAAGGGCAGAGGGCAGATGCAAGGGGATGGGGAGATAAGTGAGGTCAGGATGCATGATGTGAAATCTACGAAGAACCAATAAAAAGTTTAAAAAATAAGTATTTTGAATGCTGTTAGAAACTGTGTTGGTTTAGGAAAGTGGCCCCAGTAGGATTTTTTCTAGTGTCCATGACTTACCAGCCGCTGGTAGCTGGCTAGGTTTATAGTGTCAGGCATGAAATCCTTCCTATTGAGTGGGTTTAAAGTTGAATTAGGCAGCTGTTGGGTACC